TTTGACCGGCGCGGACGAAAGAGTGTTAATTGTGAACTTGCGTTTTATGGAGGAAGTAGACTCGCCGGAGAAGGCGCGACGTCGGCCGGCATGGCGCGCATTACCGAAGCCCGGTGTTCTCAGCTGTCGTCGCTGAGTTACGTTAACACCTTTGTCCGATGTTATCGTCGGTTGACCAGCGCGGACCCTTCGGCCGTTTCCATTACGTCGTTCCTTGCCATTACGCGTTTAATGATAATCGCGCGTCCGCATGCCGCGGAACGACGCGGCGTTCGCTCGCGATCGCGACGAGGAAATCCACTCGTGCACACCTGGCCGCGCGACTATTAAAGCAAGAGTACCGCGTATCGCCTCGCTATCTTTGTTTCAGCTAGTAAGAATCATCCCTCTTCCCCCCGCCCCTTGATTTAGATAACGCGCCCGATACGGCCGTACAGTGTTTCGATCTGACGGTGTTATTCCACGTACGTTCTTTCGCGCACCCGCGATATTAGCGCGCGCATAAGCGAGGACGCGTATTATCGTCTGTAAAAACTGGAATAATTACATGCGCCGCGATAACACCGCGAGTCCGGGGCTGTCACTTTGCTCGACAGTCGCCGCGCATGATTTTACGATAGTAATATAATTCTTTGGTGCCGCGTGTTATCGCGTGCGCAACTTTCTCTCTCTCTCTTTCTCTCGCCGCTGGACGCGCAAGAATTTTCCGTACGACTGGAAAAGGGCGCGTGACACGTTGTTGAAAATTAATTACCGTATCGCTTGTGCTTAGTGAAGTCGTCCGGTTCGTCCGACGTCGTCCCGTACCGGCTGTTACAAACAGCATCCTGTTTATCAATAATTTGAATTTGAAAGACGCACCGAGAGACGGCGCGAGTTTGCAAGCCGCAACAAATTACGTCTATCGGGCGTCATTAATCACCCGGCATCTCCGACATCTGCGAACGCAGACCTCCGCCCGTCGCCCTCTACTTACCGAAGAAAGACGGTGTTTCTGCTCGCGAATGGAAAATAGGAATGGCGTCACGACCGCCCGACAACCTTGAAACGTTATCCGTTTATTCCGCGCAATTAGATTTTAATCGAGGAGTAACTTTTCCTATTTGAATTTTGATTCTCGTTCGCGGGGACTCGAGTAAAAATTTCGAAGCGCGTGTCGAAAGTATCGGCGAATTGTTGCGACGATTATCGAAGCTTACGATTTGATGCGCGAAAATCTTGAGTAATCTCCCTGCATCTTCGCAGAAAACAGGCTATAAACCTTGTCACTTAAGCGAGTCGGTTTACCGCCAGCATTATTACCGTAAATTACGCAAACATCCGATTCGCCTCGAGCCGCGAGGCGAGGGTAGTTTTAATTAAGATAAGTGAGTTCGAGGTGTCGACGGCGGGGATTATTCGAAAATAATTTCGACGTACGTATATAACGACACGCCCGGTTTATCCAGCGTGCTGATCTACGGATTACCTTCGGCCGAAGAGAGAGAGAGAGAGAGGGAGAGAGAGGATACCTATCCCGAATAAATTACGCGGCGGTAACGTCGGTGGGTGGTGGTGTAAGGGGCGACGTAAGGTTAGGTGGAGTTCGCAAAGAGGACGAGAGAGAAAGGGAGAGTAAGACGCGAAACAACGAGCGAAAGAGAACGGACAGAAGAAGAGAGAGAGAGGGACACGGACGAGCCGAAAGGAGAGCAGGTGCAAACTTGGCCTGTCAGGAAGTCGCTTACAGCTCGAGGACAAAAGCTTCCCTCGGGACTCGTGCGCGTTTGGAAGCGGCACTAGGGACGCACAGGTCGGTCTGGATGTTGGAAGACGACGAGAAAGATGGTCGCGGGAGCTCGAGGGGAGCGAGAGGGACGAGCCTAACTGTGAAATAACAGGGTGGCCTCTTCAACCCTCGCCTCGAAGATGCGAGCCTCATACGTCACTTCCTTACGGCGAAAGAGGGCGGCGTCTAAGGGTGGAAGCGAGTTATATTGATTTATTTATACCGAGGAAGCATCTCCGACGTGATGGGGTTATTGGGTACCTATATTCTATCTATAACATCCGCTACGGTCTCCGCGAGTGGCAAAGCCGGATACCGACGTTGAGGATCCTCTCGAAATCTCTCCGTCTCGGCCTCGGCAGACTCGGATCGATGATTGCGCGAAATCATCCCGTAACAGTTAGAATCCTTTAAAGAGCCGTTTAAAATTCCGTGAGGTGAGGCCTTCCGGGGGTCCGCGCGATGATGCATCGCGCGGGTTTACGAGTGACCGTCGAAAAGACGGTTGAAAGATACACGTGGCTCGAGCAATTTGCCATTGTCGAAACAAATTAGTCATGGGAGGATCATTGTCGGCGCGAAGGACGAAACAAACGGCGCGTCGCGTGTCCGACTGTTACATTCCAATTTGTAACCGTCAGCTGTTGTTGGGCGCGAAAATAAAGTCGTAGCGGGAGCTCGCGTCGCGCGCGCGTGGCTATACGAATTCGGTTTCGAGCGAAGATGACGTGGTCGCCGTATTAGTCCATCCACCTCCCACCGATCGCTCCTCTAGGGCTTTGCCCGATACATGACTCGGCCCTGTGGCATGACTGTCGCGAACACGCGAACCCGTTAGACCAAAGTTAACCCGCAATTTAGCTACGGTGATCATTCAAAGGAGACGTCTCACTCGATGCCACTTAACGAATCTTTCTTCCGAAGAAACATTTTGCACTGTCAGACGCGACAATTATTCCGCAGGCGATAAAGTCGACTTCGACTTATGCTCAAGTTAGAGGCAACGGTTTAGCTGACGTTGCCTTTCTCTCTCTCTCTCTCTCTTTCTCTCAAACCCGTCGTATCTCCGGTTTTATTAAGGGAGACTTTTTTGCGAAATTTGTTTTATATATTTGTGACCGAAAGTAGAACGGCCTTGGTGTTTCATAACTATACGTTGGTGAATTCCGGCTAGATTTGACATACGACAGTCGTTGTAGCCACATACCGAGATTCAGAGAATTCGGGTGAAAATACGGTAGAAGCTCGAGAACTTTTTAGAATTCCCACGGTAAATCACAGTTACAGAGTTGATGGGGCGATGTGTATGATTACACCCTGTCTCCTAGCGGCTATAAATCTCCATCTATCCGCCCCACCTTCGTCCTAGGATTCTACAGGTATCCAAAGGACCCGCGCCTCCGAGGACTTCGAAATGGCTGTGACGTATAGCCTGGCGGTGCGTAATGGGTCGGCAACGCGAGCAAATGACTTTGAATAATCCTGATATATTGTTTATTCACTTATCCGCGGCGCGGAAAGACGGGATCACCGGCGACGAGACGCCCCACGTCGAATCGCGTACAGTTGTCACGTTTCTTTTATTATCGCGGCTTTCGCTGTTCCTTTAACTCGCGCGGTGCTGACGATGAAAAGATCAGCAGGTCAGGTGCCGGGCTAATCTCTTGTTATTAACATGATTTCGAGTGTCCCTGGTGTCGGAATAACCATTATTTTCGAATCGCCGGGGCAGCCCTGTCATTTCGATTAACCAGTAACCGACAGGTCGCGCCGTGGCCGTAAAATCAAGAGTTAAACGCTCGACACACTATAATCAATCGTTGGGCTTCGTTTTTAAATCCATTAGCCTGAAACGCGCGCCAATTGAACGACAGTTTGAAAATGATACTCGAAGTCGATCGCCGGCGTGTCAACGGAGGATCGCCACCCCCCCCCCCCCGCTGGATCTCGCGCATAATTTGAAATTAACATCCCGGTATCCGTGATAAACAGTTGATCGCATGCAGAAATGTTGCCAAAAAAAAAAACTTAATATCGGCGGACTGCACGCTCGTACAGAGCGGGCTGAAGCGAAGCAATTTTCTGCTTTCCAAGAATATAATTTTCGCAGGGGGATGTGCCCGCTATATTTCCGAGATAAGACTATAGCTCCGCGGGATCTCCTCTCACCCAGCAAGACCCTACTCTCTCGTGTGAAATTACTTCGCTCCGCGGCTTACTCTTATCCCCCGGCGCCACCCTTTCTTACCGTGTATCCTCATTCAGCCGGGATCTCCCTGGAAATAAAGTAGATACCTTTCCTATTTTCGCATCTGGAAAATTGCAATACTGCAGTCGCGAGTGGTGCTCTCGGCTTGATAAATCAGTTGGAAGATGGAAAATTCTCCCAATTTTTTCCTGCAGCCACGCGCAAAGGGGAAATAAGAAATTATTATTCTTCCGTTAATCCGATATGCAAAGCGAACTTTTATATAGACAATACTTAATCGTTTGATCGCCTCGCCTCGCCTCGCGTCGCGGCGCTGATTAATATTACGGCAACCGTCGAGCGCGAATACCGCGCAATTTAGCACAAATGCTTTCCCAGCGCCCTTAAGTAATTATTATAATCGGCATAATTGTAGGATTATTCTTATTCTGGCCAAGTAAATCGCCGGGATAACGTCGCATGCTACCCCCTGGAAAAAGAATGAAAGTGCTATAACGGCGTACATATAGAGCCTGGTACGATAGAATCTCTTTGGTCGAAGTCGTGACGCCGACGATCACGAATCTTCCTCCACATCAACCCTTTCTGCATACTTTTTCTCCATGGCGCTTGCATAATAACGTTTTCGTGCGGGAATCGATACGAGAACATCTATTTTTACACGAGAACAGGCTATTTCGTCTTATCAGCGCGATTTTTTTCCCCCCTACAATATTTTGATCGCGACGTCGTAATCGTCGACGTTTTATCTCGGAACAAATCCATTGAAGAATTTTTTTCGTAATTCCATCTCGCCGATTCTTTCCTTTTGTTTTAATGCATTTAAGGCGTGCACGTGCTACCTGATTTGTGACTGGAGATTTATGGATGTACTTTTCCTTTCTAACGTTAATCCCCCTTTTTTTTCTTAAACGCGATTGTGCCGCTTACAAACACGTTTGTTAACGCGCGGGCGACAAGTAGCGATTGGCAAATCAGTGAATTGTATGACTATAGTTTTAACGAGTATTTCTAATGTTTCAGGGAAATGGTGTCCTCGTAGGGAATGGAATTCGCCCCCTGACGCGCAACGCGCGGCGTCCGAAGCGCGTCGTGGTGTCCTTTACTCGTCGGTCTTCCTCGGCAGTCCCGGTAAGTCGAGTTCTTCGCACAAATCTGAAATTTTTACACTTTGCGCATCTAGAATTACCCGCGCGCATAGAATTACTTGAGCACTCTTTAACCGCTGTTAGCAACGCGGCCGAAGTGATGGAGATTTGTCATATTAGTTTCAATTATGTCATCCTGCACATAACGCGATCGGAACAATTTCTGCAAAAACAATTTTTAGATACAGTACACATTAGCAAATATTAGAATAACACGTCATTAGTCATTCGGTACACTGTGCTAAATAATCCAAGACCTTTTATAAAATTGATCCAATTATTATCTATGCCGATATTTTTCCTGCTTGCGTGTTTGTAAAATCTTTCATTGCCTTCCGCGAAAGATCTTCTCGTATGTATTATTTTGGCATCCTATAATTCCACACTTACGCATTTTATCTTTATATTTATCTATACAATTGTTGCCTCACCTCTGTTTACCGGATTATACGCTTGACGGAATTAAAGCTCGCAAAATAAATAAATAAATAGCGCACGCGGGGTAATTAAAAAAATGAATTGCCCTTATAAAGATTGCACAACTCTGCAATTTTTTTAAGAGCAATTTATGTTTTTAACTAGCGATATTTTTAATTACATTTCTTACGTGTAATGTGTAAAATATAAAGTTGCACATAATGACATTTGCCGAGCATAAATCCGCCTTTTTATTCGGCCGAATTAATCCTCGATCATTTTTAACCGCGCCGCGCGTAAAGCGAAGGGAAAAGACGCGCGCCGCTTTATGCGTGCACTTTGTGTGCGTACGGTGGGAGGAGCGAATCGTCGGCCGCATAAACAAGTTTTAATCGGCCTCGGGCATTCGCTACGCTGAATAAATATTGATATCGGGTGACGCGACGGCCAATCAGAATTGCGATTTACGAAATAGGGCGCTCACATCTCGTTTGTTTCGAACGCGCGAACAATTTGGCGACGATTAGCGGACGCAGCTATTTAAAATTGTAGAGAGCTCGTGCCGGAAACCCTGTTTATCCTTTCTAAATTAAGCTCGACTATGAAAGGAAGGTGCAAAACTCTTAATATCACGATTTTACATACCATTGGCATCGAGTAACGTAAGATCTAAAGTGGACCTCGGTATCGTTGCAAAAGACGATCCACGAGTAAATCAAAGGTTTCTTTTTTTGCGACCAAAGTTTCTCAATATTGGATTTCCGTAGTTCCGCGCCGTTATTACGCGTGCGCGATCCTAGTAGCGGGCGACATCGTGTCGACCTTCTTCGAGAGGCATCAAGATCCTCTCGAGCGCCGCAGATAAGCATCGCGCGAGAGTACATTACGTGGTTGCGAGTGACTCGCGTTTGATAAGTGATCGAATCGTTCTGGAGATGCATCGAGCCTCGATATTGCGAAGGACCAAGTATCACGCATGCGTACACGCTCGCGGGCTGTCTCCTCCGTCTGTTCCTCTCTTTCGACCTCCCTCTCGCCGTGGAGCAGTGGGTACCCTCCGCGAAGAAAGGACGAAGCGAGCGCGAGAGAGCGAGTCGCCCCTTGTCGTCGGAGAGAAGATTGGCGCCCGAGAGCGAAGAGGACGGAATTTCGCGAGTGTGAGAGTGTCGGTCGGCATGCGAGCGGTGCAGAGAGAGAGAGAGGGAGAGAGAGAGAACGAAAAGAGAGGAGAGGAGAGGAGAGCCGAGGGAAAGGGTGCCGCCATCTCCATGGCAACGAGGCGAGGCGGGAATGCGACGGTAACCATGGCAGCCGCGGGTTCCTCTCTCGGGCCGACCTGTCTGTCCCTCTTTCTGGCCTCTCGTCCTCCTCGTTCTCCTCATCTGGACCTCTTCCTTCCGCCCACGGAGCGAGTAAGCGGTCGCGCGGACGCCGCTCCTCTCTCGAGCCGATCCGTAAAGAAAAGGTGGGGCGGACTTGGGCTCGCGCCGCTCCAGGAGAGAGAAAGGGTTTTTCTTTTCCTTCCTTTTCACCTTCGTTTCGCGCAGCCTCCCGTGGATCCTTTTTTCCGTGTTTAGGAGCATCGAGTCAATTTCGATGCGTGTGGAGGGTACTCGATAGCGGCGAGCGGCTGCGTAATGTGAAATTTCGCTTAACTCGGCGCGTCGCAAAGTGCGATTTATGTCCTTAAGATTGATATAAAATATCCAAGTCGCGATGGATGCGCACGTCTTCGAGTATTAAATAATCGTTTGCCGTTTTGCTCGTGCAAGGTAACGAAACGTATAAACGAAAACAACGACTCGCCTCGCTCGCTCTTTCTATTACGGCTCTCCTTTGTATTTTTAATTATAAATTATCTCAACGTTTCTTTTTCCAAGCAAACGGCACGTCAAACCTGCATGCATTTAAGCGCGTAGTTGAAAGCCATCGACATTCTTCGACGCGGAAACGCGGTTCGCCACTCAGCTCGGGCGCGGAATATCGTAGACGCGCCTGATTATGTACGACTGTCGAGGAATCCTGAGATTCCAGGCGTCGTTTAACTCTCGATACGTTGCGCGACGACGCGGCGAGAGTCGAGTTTCTACGTCGACGACATTAGCGTGCCTTTGCGTTTTCCCTCGCTGCATATTTCCGTCTTGCTCGTCCGTTGCGAGCGCGATGGCAGAAGCGCGTCTTCCCGACGTAGCCTGCGTTATTTTGAATTTCATAAGAACGCTTTTAAAATGGTATATCTTAATCGGCGTAGCGATCCTTTGCCGATCGTTGAAGACCCGCGTTTAGAATCACCTTTGGAGAATATTCCAATATTTTTCACGCAGCCTCGGTTCCCGCTTCAGTGGCTCGTGTTTTCGCTCTGTCACTTTAAAGAAAATCCTTGATTAACGCAACATTCGGTCATATTAACGTCAATGGAAGTTAAAAGCTATTTACGCGATATATACGGCTCTATTTTTGATAATTATTTGAAATCACCTTGAAAAAGGTACCATTTCCATCGTAATTTCGAGAGCGCGCGTTTGTCGAGTCGGAATTTCGACCGCGGCTTTGAATAGAGGAGGGGGAGGGGGAGAGGGGGACAAAACGAATTAGGATGCGGTAACAAAACAAATTCGTCGAAATTTCGTCAGAGCCGGTACACGACCGCCCGCGCGCGGTGGATCTCGTTACGTTTACTGGTAGAAGGAGGTTAGCCGAGAAACGGGGGGAGCGCGGGGGTGGATGCTGGAGAAACGGTAGGTGAAAGAGGAGGAGAACGGGTGGAATTCTCTCGGTTTGGTTTTTCATGGGTCGCACATCACGTCCCTCTCTCCACCCCGTCTCCATCGCGCGGAACCACCGTACTGTGCACACCCGCTTACCACCCCTTTGCCACCCCCCCCCCCCCGCCCCCTCACCCCCCGTCCCCTCCTCCCGTATCGCCCTGCAATAGCACACGGCATGGCTCCCTTTTCTGTGAGTGTGTAACGTAATGTAAGGGTTGCGCCCGCGTCGGCGTTTGGGGTGAGAGAGTTTAAAACCCCTCGGGGCTTGAGGTCCGGGCCGGTTAGATTTATCGGATGTTTTGGTTGGCGGCCATTGTTAGCCACCCTCTCTCTACTCTCTTCCTCTCTTTCACCACTCTACGCACAGTGGCGTAACTCGTGCTACGTCGCTGCTAGGAAATCATTTTTCAATCTCCCGCAGTGCATTTCGGATGTCTATGGGTGATGAAAGAATTGACGTAGCTAGATATATCATTCAGGTTATATACACTTTGTCGCGCTTTGTACTTTTTTTCGCTAATATAACGTACACCCCTTACGCACTCGTTATTCCGGATTATTGATATAATTAGCAAAATTTATTAGGCATGTAAAGGCGACAAAAAATTGTAAATTCTTCGCATCGTTTGTTTAAACGTCTCGTTTTGCGCCACCGTAGATTCATAATGCCAGCTACTCATATTATCGACAGAGACTTTTTTTGCAATTTTACTTTCGGTCGAGAGAATTGTTCTTTGCACTATTTGCCCAAGTTCTGTAATATTTATCACGTGATATTATTAATTGCTCGATTAAATAATTACGTGGCGTGAAAGGATAAAATAATGGAAGCAAAATTGTCCAGTACTCGATTATATCGTTACGATCCGCCATTACGAAGATCGTCTCGTGGCGCTCCGCGTGCAGTCGTCGCAAAGCCTCTCCGCAACGTGGATCTTCGACAATCTCCTTGTTGGTATTATACGCGGTAGTTTGAGCGATGTTCAACCTCGCGGTTCGCGACCCTCGGGCTCAACCCTTTTCACCGCAGCTCTGTTTGTCTCATTTCTTAGTTCATTGCGGTTCTCTAATTAAACGTGTACAGTCACGTGATCGATACGATTCGGCTGAACGTTCGAGTTTTAAAAATTTGCTAAATTTACCTAATTACACTAATGTATGTTGACAACGACAAAGGGTTAACGTGATAACATTTAAACGGTCAGAAACATTAACAATACAACATAATACATTTCTTAAAATTAAAATCATGAGTAAGGCTCCGATAAAAACCGTTTGTGGACCGAAACGTACAATTTTACCGCAACGCTAAGTAACTTCTAATATATTTTTATACTAAAATTTGTATATAATTCGACCACCTTCAATCAGGCTCACATTGCTCATATTCATATAATTTTATAATAATACATTTCGTTTAAGAAGAGTAGAAAAGAACTTGTTTCAAAATTTGCAATACTTATCTATATTTTACAAATGCTATACAATGTGAGATAATGATTACTATTGAAACAAATAAAATCGTGAAGGAACATCTCGCGGAGGTAGAAAGAGAAGGGACATTCGAGTTTTGCAAGTGATTTCAAAACACGAGCTAATTGGGACTTTATCGGATAATGTCAGGGAAGTTTGATCACGACCGTAGGCCTCGCGGAAGAGAATTCGTAGCCGGTCGAGAGCAAGTTACACAATAGCTGGCCCCGGCGATAGGCGATGGCGGAGGAGAATAGCCGTGGCAGAGTTTCTCTCGCACGGAGCCGCCACAGGGCCACCTCGTGTTCTTCGATTAGCAAGAGAC